TCAGAAACACAGTGAGAGTTTAATCTGTGATCTCTGCAGACTGAGTGAAGAGAGACTCCAGCAGCTTCTGGTTCTCCTCCATGAGGTCCAAGACCAAGACAGGACATTGTCCCTCTTGAATAAGGTTGGTGGAGACCTGAGCTCCTGCAGGTTGAGCTGGGAGCTTCTTCACTACCTGCTGCAGCAGCCGACAGCTCAGACCATCACTGTGAACCTGAAGAAGAATCGATTCTTAGAGGAGAGAGCTGCTCAGCTGCTGCCCTTTCTGCATAGGATGGTGATTCAAAGGTGGAGGTTTTTATCTTCTAATAAATAGTTGGTCTGATTTTCCATCAGCAGCTTCTGGTTCCTGGCAGTAACAAAGTGTTGTGGTGAATCCTCTGTCTGCTTTCAGGCCCAGTCCCAGCTTTGTTAGGACTTCCATCAAGGAGATCTTCAGGACTCACCACAGTCACCTGATATCCGGGTTGCTGAGGTCACTGGGTCATGTAATCAACCTGAACTGCACAGAGATGGACTCAGAGGACTGTGATGCTCTGCTGTTCATCCTCAGACACAGTGATGGAGTTAAACTGAGGCTGCTGTGGAGCTCCATCCCAGCAGAGGGAATACAGTCCATCCTGTCTTTGCTGCACACAGTTTCTGATCTCAGGTCAGATATCAGAACCTGCTCCTCAGGACTCCTTCCCATGATGAACCATTCCCTCCAGTTCATTAACTGGTTGGTTTTCTTTCTTCTCTGTTCCCACCAGTGTGGACAGGAATCTCCTGCTGAGGTTCATCCACTGCTGCGCTTTCTCTGACAGCCAGCAGGGGGCAGCATCAGACTTACTGAGGACTCTGCAGCACAGGTTGGATCTGTCCTGCTCCTCCTGTGTGCAGCTACCAGAGGAGGATCAGACTGAGCCTCTGAGCCTGACGGCTGCTGACTGCAGGGCCGTCTCCATCGTCCTGAGACACAGCAGCAGAGACACACAGCTGGACCTGAGAGACTGTGAGGTGGAGGACAGCGGGCTGGACCTGCTGTTTCCTGTCCTGGACAGAATCCATCTCATGTGAGTAAGATGGACCCTGAAGCAGGGAGAAGTTTGTTGACCTTCATGTTGATGTTCTTTGGTCTGTTTTTCCTGTTTAGAGTCAGTAAGACGATCCTGGTCCAGCTTCTGTCTCTGCTTGCTGTGAACAATCAGAGGGACACAGTGAGACGGACAATGTCCCTGTGCAGAGCTCTGGGAGGAGAACTGGACCTGAGTCACTGCCCACTGGATCAGAGGCTCTGTGGAGCTTTGGTTCTGATGCTGGACTACTCTGAAGGTCTGACAGAGCTGGACCTCAGTCACTGCCAGCTGACAGACCAGCTGCTGCTCCAACTCATCACACATCTGCACAAAGTTCACATCCTGGAGTAAGTGTCCCAGACTGTCCCTTCTGTCAGACAGAGACATCCCACCTTATTTTCTTTTTTCCTGGGGGGTTTGGTACTCAGCATTCTCTAAGTATCAAGGTGAGGCCCAACAGATTTACTTTCACAAGTGGAGCCTTATGGATTTGGCTCTGATGTTCAACTTGATAGGGGTATATTTAAAATTTAATGAACTCTGTAAAGGAATAGAAAGGGAAAGGAGGGCAGCGGTAAAAGGTTAGATAAGCGTAGGGGAGAGAAAGAAGGATAGAGAGAATACTAGGCAATATCTTAGAACTCTGGTTTTACACCTGCAGAAAGTGAAAAACAATCAAATAGAGAAACAATAGCGACAAGCATAAAAAAATCACAAAGTACAAGTGGAGGTGGCAGAGCAGGACAAGCACAAAACAGCATTCAGTTCACCAGTGGGTCTGTTTGAGGTCAACAAAATGCCTTTTGGGTTGCAGAATGCTCTGTCAACCTTCCAGAGGCTCATGTTTAGGAGACCTGAACTTCACCCACCTTCTGATGTATCTGGATGACCTTATCATCTTTTCTAAAATCTTTGATGAGCACCTAAACAGGCTGTTGTTGGTGTTTTATCGGCTTTGGAGTACGTTTAAAAACTTAAACTGTTTAAGTGCCAGCTGATGAGAAAAGAAGTGCAGTTCCTAGGCCACCTGGTATCTGCTGATTGAATCCAGACTGACCCAGAGAAGATTCGTAGAGTCAAAGACTGGACCAGGCCAACAAACCACAGGGAAGTACTGCAATTTCTGGGGTTTGGTGGCTACTACAGGTGGTATGTCAGTGGGCACTCTATCCTGGCAGCTCCCTTATGCCAGCTCACAGGTGGTGACCCGAGAAATATGAACAGAAAAGGAAAAATAGGCCTGGTATCTGAACCACCATTCTTATGGACAGAGGAATGTATGGAGGCATTCCTGGCCTTAAAGCACAGACTTACGACTGCGCCAGTGTTGGGTTACCCAGAATACAACCTACCGTTTGTTCTTCAGACAAATGCATCGGGGGAAGGACTAGGTGCTGTCTTGGTCCAGGTTCAAGATGGCATAGAGAGTCATAGCCTTCGCCAGCCGAGGGTTGAGTCCAGCAGAGGCAAGGTATCCCGCCCACAAGCTAGAGCTCCTTGCCCTGAAAATGGGCGGTAACAAACAAATTCTAGGACCATCTCTATGGGTGCAAGTTGTCTGTCCAGACAGACAATAACCCCCTCAAGTACATCATGAGCTCTGCAAAGTCGGATGCCACAGGGCAATCAATGGTGGGTGTCCCGTTTGGCTGCTTTGGACTTTGATATCCAGTACCGGAGAGGAAAAAGCAATACCGATGCCCGATAACTGAACTGTTCTCTCAAAACCCAAGTGTTCGGAGTCATTGTGAAGAGCCTTCATAGCTCCCTCGTGCACGGACTTCTTGCTTCGTCATGGCGGGAAGTGACTCCATACCCACGTCTCCGTATGGCTTATTAGATCCTGGTGATTCTGAGTCTAGGTTGGCTGAGGCCGCTGTGTTCTGGTTTGAGGAGTTGTCTGGACCTTGTATGGACTGACCTGCACCCTGTTAGGGCTTTTTGGTGCTCACCCGCAGAGGGCATGATTGCAGAGTCTCTGTAATCTCCTGATTGGACGTATGGGAGAGGGCATTGGCGTTCGCATTGCTTTCTCCTACCCGGCACTAGACATCAAAGTCAAAAGCAGCTAAATGGGACACCCACCGTTTAATAATGAGGGATATAAATATGAGTCAACACAAGTGTTTTTTTCAGCCATAGATCAGCTTTTCTGAACCCACTATTCATGGGTTCAGACACTGCCTACAGTGAGGAGGGCAGCAAGGTAGGTAGATCATATCTCAAACTGATTGTTTTTGGATATTCCTCTGCCACAGAGCTGGGAATGGGTCAGTCTTAAGCCTTTCAGCAGGAAGATGCTACAAAACCAACTGACAGATAGTATAAGACCTGCATTTTGTACTAAAGGACACATTTCTCTGTCCAGCAGCACATCTGGAATCTGCTGATCTCTTCTGTGGTTCTGAATTAAGTCATTATGAACATGGTTCCAGTAAAACCCAACATAATGTTCTGTGTTGTGTTTGTGTTCCAGTCTGAGTCACAATCAGATCACTGATGCCTCCACTGCTTGGTTACTCTACCTGGTCTCCATCAGCCCCTCCCCTGGTTCTGTGAGGTGAGCAAACATTCATCAGAGCTCAATCAGTGGAGGCGTTTGTCTTCCCCTGGTTGATCTCTGAGCATCTGAATCCATGTAATTTTTGAAAGAGTCACATCTGTTCTCTGCTTTGTTTCGTTTCTAGACTGAACAACAACAACATTATCAACAAAACTCCTTTTAAGAACAACAGGAAGTTTGAAATCTGGTGAAGCAGCTGGTCATGTGACCAACAGGAAGTCCCTTTCTCTGGTGTAATCTAAAGCTGTGTGTTCACTGGGTGGAGTGTGACCCATATATGGAGGTCTTAGTCCTCAACGTCACTCTCATGGCTTAACTTCTTCCGCCTCTGTCATAAGTCACATTCCTGTCTGACAGCTGCTAAAGAAAGGCCACCTGAGCCAAAAAAACGTTTCTCCTTGGGACATAATGGCTGCCAACACTGAACTGATCAGCAGTGGGTTGCAGCTGTTCTTCTGGTTTCTAGGTTGTTGTAGGGTTTGCTATATAGAATCTGTTTTCATTGTTATTGTTTTGTTAATCTCTTTTTGTATGAGAATTGCTAAGAACTTAACTAAAGTAGAACATAAATAAAGCTGATGTAGTTTTTTACTTGTTCTTCATTATGTTTTTCTATGTTTTTCCAGTTCCCATGTTTGTGTACTCTCTATCTTCCTGCTACTCTTGCATCCTGTTTCTATTCAGTCATCTGTTCTTTGTACAATAATGAATCTCTCCAATATATGTAGAAGTTATTCTCAGTCACTCCTTGCTGGTTTCTCCCCTGGATTCCTAGTTTTTGTTCTGCTCTCACTCTTTGTGTTCCCTATGTTTTAATAAGTTTGTTTTTGCTCATTTATTTCTCATTAAACTTCAAGAACTACTCCCTGCCATGGTACATTTTAATCTTTCATCTTTGCACAAAGTCACAACTGTTTCAGTCCAGATGTCTCGGGAACCATCCAGTACCAGGACACTAGTGAGGAAAACCAGTCTGGTTGTAGAACTGGAAATGTTTTACTGTATTTAGCGGCCATCACATCTATCTGACTCAGCTTAACCCAGTTTATTCTTGTCTTTGAATTTTCTTTAACAATAGAAAGCAGCTTATAGTTAAAAAAAAAGTTGACATAGTTTAAATGACATACCTGATGTGATATTAGTGCACTGCAGATTTTTGGGAGATTGTATTTCTTGTAATATCAGTGTTTATTGAGGTGTTAATCAGACATTTATCTGATTATATAAAAGACAAATGTCATCATAGTAGAGCCGTGATGAAGCTTAGCTTACCCAGGGTTAGCAAGTTAGCTAAAATCGACATGAATATAGACAACATGAATATAGACAACGTATACAACGTATACAACAATGTACAACTATTACATTGTTGTAAGACAATGTAATAGTTTCCAGAAATTAATATTTTTTTTATTTCTATTTTCCAACATATTGTTATGTGTATTGAAATTGTCGAGAAAAGTCGAGCTCATCCCACTTCCCCATGCTGGAGATTTTAGTTTAATA